ACTTTTTCATTGATAGTCAGCTGAGAGAGTCAATATTTTTTACATATTTCTATGCTAAAAGAAATTATTTTGAAAAAAAAAAAACAATTCTTATAAAGTATCGAAGTCAAATGAAAGGTGAATATGTCCCATTCTACTTGACATGACCCATATATAAAAAATAATAACATAAGAGAAAAACGAGAATTCTATATTTTTCTTTTTTGCACAAAGTAACTTCGTCACGCTCTTTCAACTAAACTGAAACGCCAATTAGTTATTTTTAATAGAGTGTAGAAAAGTTCTGTTAGAGCTCTCATTCGTAGAATCAGAAGTGTCTTGCTTTTTGATTAAAGGGCTAAGTGACTTAACTGTTTTTCAAGGTATTCATCGTACATTAATATTTACATAATACATATAGATCAAATTCGAAAATAATGGATCAGTTATACAACATAGTCACTCAGCTATGACAACAGATATTTCTTTATAGGATTTGTTTTTCTTTATGATATATAGATTGATATAAATAACAACTAGATTTTCATATGCTTTCAAGATTGTCCTATCAGATAATGATATTAGTTTCGCTAAATTAGATTGCATTTAGAAATGTAGACTATAACATTTCTATATAGGTCGAGAAAAGAAAAAATATATTACTCGTGTTAATTCTATTTGTAGATCATCATATTCATTTTGAAGTTGATGTAATTTATCTTCATTAGTTGAATATGGTGTTAATATTTGACCATTTTGTTTTGATGATAAATCAATTTCATTTTGATATTGAAATTTTTGTTCTAATAAATCATATTTATCTTGTAATGCTTGATGTTTTTCTTCAGCCTTTAAAAAAAATATATACATATATATCTATTATTGATTTCTATAGAAATAAGAAAAAAAACAAAAAAAAAAAGAATCTACATGTTGTAATTGTGTTTCTTTTGTAGATAATTCATTTTCTAATCGATTATTAAATTCATTTAAATGTGTTGTTTCTTTTTGTATATTTAAATAACGTTTTTCTAATGTTGATATACGTTCTTCTTGATCTTCTTTTTGTGCTTGAGATTCTTTTAAATCACGTTGATATTTATTTATTTGTTCATATGTATGTGATAAATCACGTTGAAATAAACATGAACGTTCTTCTAATTCTTTATTACGATTTATTAATTCATGTATACGTGAACGTGCTGATATTAATTCATTACATTGATGATCCATTAATTCTTGCATTTCAATTAATTTACTAGTTAAATAATCAGAATTAATTGTACCATTTGACATACTCTATATATAACAAAAAAAAAACAAGAAATAATTAAATTAAATATAAAACAAAATAATTTTACTTTTAATTGTTCAATATCAATTATTTTCGATTGTTGAGTTTCACGAACACAAGCAAGCTACAAAAAAAACAAAAGAATTTTTATCTATATAAGATTTAAGAAGAAATTCATGAAAAGATTAAGACACTAGTCCAAATTTTTTGTTTAGTTCCGGACGCAGACTAGGCTCGGAAAACTTTGGACGCGATAAGCAGATGTGGATCCGAAAATTTTAAACGTAACAAATTCTACCTATTCCAGCCATTTCTACATTGAGATTTATTTTGAATCCGAAAATATTCTTATAACCTTTCATGATTTCATACGCTTGTTTTGTCAATTAATTATTATTTAAAAAATAATATCGTCTAATAGATAACTCGGAAATCTTCTACTATTATAGAGAGTTAAATAAAGAAACATGTGGAGAATATTAAGATGACATATATATAGAGTGTGGGTGTGGGTGTGTCAAAATCCACACATGTATTGGATTTAATTGAAATGATTTAAGATTAACTAATTATCAAATTAAATGAGATTTAATCCCTCACATCATTAAAAGAAAGAAATTCTCTGAATTAATTAAATATTATTATAAATAAATAGCTCAAAACGATAGTGATTATGCATAAATTAAGATCTACTATTAATATAGTACCTATTTATTAAACCCGATGAATAGTAGTACCCATAATTATAAGTAAATACAATTATGGAGTGTGTATCGAATAATACTATATGATATAAGTGAAATAAGAGTAGATGATAGTGCACGCAATTCGAAATTTGAGCAACGCTTTTTTTTTTTACCATGATTAGATAAAGTTCGGTGAGTTAACTATAAATATGTTGTTTTTTTGACTTATTCATGCCATGTTTTAGTAGTGAAACTTAAGTTAAGCGAATTACAAAAGTCTATAAAGAAAAAAAATAGAAATACACCGAGAGCGCATCAAGACTCGGTAGTTTCAATATTCTTCTTTCTTTTTTTGTGATTTTATTCATCATACAGTTATGAAAAACAAATCATGCATAATATTTGAAAAACATTGTTGCATTATTGTACAAATCGATTTTTTCGATATGGTTACAAAATATCATCGTTAAAAAATAAGCCTGTATTAAATAGTATATTCGATCGAAATTTAAGATTTCTATTGATTCTGAATACCAACCTGTATTTTTGACGCGTTGCTACCCATGTCGCACTACCACCAGCAGTTTTTATCCAGTTTGAATCACATAGGTATCATACCGAAGTAAATCGATTTGCTTAATAATGAAAGAACTTTTTTTTTTTCGAAAAGGTATTCGTAGTGTTTCTTTTTCTAATACTATATGATGAATCAAACCACAAAAAAAAAAAAAAACTTTGAAACTATCAAGATTTGATGCTTTTGGCATATTTCTATTTTTAGACTTGTCTGATTGTTTTTTTTTTATTCTAAGTTTCACTAGAAAAACATCGTCGAAATAAAACAAAAATAACATTGTATATATGATTTGACAAGTTGTATTCAACCGTGACGAAAATAAAAAAAAAAGGTTAAAAAAATCTTTTATTCAAACTTTGAATCGTTGACATTTGACAAAATTCAAAAATGAAACTAATCATAATTCGTTTCTTGAATTTTTAACTAAATCTCTATAAAATAAAATGCTACATTACAATAAAGTATCTAATCAATCAACATGTAGAGATATACGGACTTCGAAGCTACGAGAGAAAAAAAAACATGTAGGTAAGTTGTATACGATTTTTTAGCGAATTATATTTTATAAAATGCATCAATCAAAATAAAAATCATAAGAGCTGAACAAAAACAAGTGACATTCTTTTCGGTTGAATTACTCAAAAACATGACTATTTAAGGCCTCCCCCCCCCTCAAAAATCGATCTCAGCTCCGGAACGTTCAAATGGGCTGAAATTTGGAGCATATGTTGGGGCTGAAGTGAGGAGGCTGTAGTAAAATTTTCAGCTCGATTTACTGACATTTGACAGAGATATGAACCAAACAAGGGTCAAAAATAGCACATTTGGCAAGCAAGATTTCTCTGTCCGAGCTCTTTCAATATTTTAAAATTTTTTTTTGTTTGAAAGAGTATCTCAAGATGCAGGGCACCAAAGAGTTCTTTTTTTTAAATACTTACTTTTCAAGCGAAAAAAGGGCATCACAAGTTCAATGACTCCAAAAGATCACAAAAAATGGCTATTTTTCTATAGACATGTTTTCTTATACAATAATAAAAAGGCTTATTTCAAAAAAAGGGCCCTTTGGTGCCCTGCATTTGAACATGCTCTTTCAAACAAAAAAAAAATTTAAATATATTGAAAGAGCCCGGACAGAGAAATCTTGCTTGCGCATTTGAGAAAATATGAACTGAGAAAAAGCGAAAAAAATTTTTTGGAAAAAAATTTTACGATATTTTAGCATTTGTAGGCACTTTTTCGGTAGATTTGAATAGAATAATTACCAACTGTCCTTTATCTTTTAGAACTATGCACAAATAACCTTCTTTTGGCGCTTGTTGAGCTTCACTAAATAAATAATTTTATTATGCAGGACAAAAAACATTATGGGCTTACTCGAAAATGTTCTAATAAAATTAATTATGAGCTATCTCAGCCCTCTTTTTATCGTAACAATTGGCGGATTGTTATGAGGGCAGAGTTTAGTATAGCCCCCCACTATAGAAACCAACCCCTAACACATTTTCATTGATTTTATTCCTACTCTATTAACACTTCATTTCGTTGTGAATCGAAAGCAATCAGCCAAAATTCCAAATGAAGCTAAATAGAAAAATAGGCACTTCTAAAAGACGCGCCATCTATTTATATATATATAAAGGGTGAATGTATGAACCAATTAAATTTTTTTCTTTCTGGTCATTGTTATATATGATAGATATGACAAATATTCTATATTATAATCAAATAGGATGGACGCCGTGTGGAAGTACTAAAAAGTAATAAAACGAAATGAGTTTAAATAATCATTTTATTTTATTTAGTTTTCATAAGGATTATAAACAGCTTTTATAGCATCAATAAAAGACACAAAAGGATCGAGTTTTTTATTTTTACTTCTCTTCTGTATAAATATTCGCATAAATGATCTGCTAAATGATCATGTGGCATACCATAAACCAGTTTTCTTTTGAGATGAGACCAGGTTGTCTAGCGATGAGGAAAGTCTATAACAAGTTGGGGGCTGTACTAAACTCTGCCCTTCGGTCATTATTCTGACGTCATCGTTTGTACATCATCTCTGTCTTTTCTGTCCTTACCATGACGTCATGTATATGTATTCCATCCATATCTTTTTTCGCTCTGTTGTCATACGCGAGTGCATATATATATATTCCATCTATATCTTCTTTCGTTCTGTTGTCATACGTGAGTGCACATATATACGCGTTGATTTTAAGAATAGTTCAGTATATTGTATACGCGATAAGATAATACTTCTCTCTAACTAAAAACTAGTTAGTGGTCAACTACCTTTATAACATATACAGAGAGGCGTGCCAGTTTGTTGCTCCCTCTATGTATGTGTGTGGTTTTAAAAAAGAAAAGAATATATCTAGACTTTAGTATAATATTTCATTTGTTTAGATTATACATTTATCTTTGTATTACGATTTTATATTAAAACGTGTTGGTTTCAAACATTATGGCTAACAAGAAAAAAACAAAACGGTATGTGCGTTCGATGAAACTTTTTTTTTCTTATACTATTAGTCAATGAAATTATTCTATCCCTAAAACGATTGAATGTTTTTCCGGTTTATCTAGAAAGGGAGATAAAAAATCTAATTTGAAATTCCTTTTCCTCATAATAAAAAGTCTTTTTACTAGATGTAGTACAAGCACCATAACAAAAAGACGTATTCGCAATAATATACGACCAATTCAAGCATCATCACCACAATCGAATACCGCATCGACAATACAAACAACAATATCAAATCTGTCCACATCTTCAAAACGTTCATCTTTACCATCACAACAGAAGATTATGAAAAGAACAAAATTGAATATAACATCAACATCAGCAAATTCAAATGTACCTATGGATGGATACACGATCTTGCAAAATCAAGTGTTATTTACTCTTATGTGCAAGACGAATTGTGAAGGTTGCGGAAATCGTTGGAACGGAACAATTAACATCAACAAACGCGAAGGTTTATTTGTGATTTTATCTTTTCAATGTTCATCATGTACAAATATCATCACCATTGGTAAGTAACTACTTCCAACTGTCGAAGCTTTGAATATTATTAATGTATGCAACATTTCTAATGTTTTCAGAAACAAGTCCGAAGGTTGTTGGATCAGATCGTCGAGATATTAATGTTCGATCACAAATTGGTGGCCATTTGTGTGGTATTAGACATGCTGGATTAGTAAAATTAATGGGTGCTATGAATTTACCAAGTACAATTCAAGATGAAAGATATTCCAAATGGGATAAAGATTTATTAGTTTCCGTAAAATCATTTTCGGATCGGTCAATGAAAAAAGCTGTTGAAGAAGCTGTGACTGCTGCAAATGGTCGAGAACTAATGGTTAGTGGAGATGGATTTTGGCAGACTCGAGGTTTTCAAAGTAGACATGGTGCAGCAGCTCTTATTTCTTGTAACACAACACCAAAAGTACTTGATATTGAAACATGTAGTAAAACATGTAATGTTTGTATGGGTGAGTTTCTTTTTTTGTTGTTTTCTTGATTGAATCTTTTTTTTGCAGGTGCACTTGCTATTAAGAAATCTAATCCAGCTAAATACAATGATGTTATTAGATCACATCATTGTGAAAAAAACTACAACAAAAGTTCGGGCACAATAGAAGCTGATGCTGTTCTTAACATGTTCCAACGATCAGTTTCCAAATATGAAATTTATTACACAAAGTATGTTGGTGATGGTGATTCAAAAACATTTGCTACTCTTTCTAACAAACCGCTATATCCAGGTATAATATAATTTATTTTATTTCAAAAAATTATTGCGTTTGAAGCACCATCAATAGTTTTGTCTTTTTAGGAAAAGTGATCAGGAAAATCGAAGACTTGAATCATTTTAGCAAAAGAATGAAACGTCAACTGGAAACAAAAAAACGTGAATATGGAAAAAAACAATTATCTGATGGTAAAACTATTGGTGGTAAAAATCGTCTTTCCGGTAAGTCTTTTTGAGACATGAAAAAATTTTGAAAATGAAACAAATGGTAAAATCTGAATGTTTTTTTTGTTTTAGAACAAAATGTTATCCGGTTACAAATGGCATTTGCTTCGACCATTCGAAAATGCAAACACGATCTAGATTTGTTATTCAAGCGATCGTGGGCTATATTTTGGCATAAATATTCGACCAATGATGATCCTCGTCATGATTCTTGCAGCATCGATTGGTGTGGTTATTTAAAAGCTGCTCGTGATGGAACATCATATGATCATACACCACATGCTTTACCTCGTCCCGTCCTTGATGCCATCAAGCCTGTTTTTGACAACCTCTGTTCTCGGAAAAGTCTTGAACGTGTACTTGATGCATCAAGTCAAAATCCAAACGAAGGTTTTCATTCGCTTGTCTGGCTTATGTCACCAAAACACAAAACAACATCTGGGACAATATTTGAAATTGCTTGTCATCTTGCAATAATAATATTTAATGATGGATATTTTGCATTAGGTAAGAGAATACAAATATTTTCGCAGGTTGTTTTAATTATAATTAAAATGTTTGATACATATAAAACTAATAATGTCTTTTGGTTTTTCACAGGAGATCTTTTCAACAACATGTGCGGTTATCGTGGTTATTACACCAATCAAGCAATGATTCACTTTGACAACAGTCGTCTCCACTCTGAATCAAAAGCAAGTAATAGAAAAACAAGAAAAGAAGCTGGTCGTGATGTACAAAAAAATGTTGATAATGGTCAAACAAATAATAATAATGCATCTGGTAATGATGATAAAACAATAGATGATGATGAAGCAGATGATGATTATAATGAAACAAATCCTAGTGATCAACCAACAACTCAAGATAATGAAACAATTATTGATAATGATGAAAGTATTACCGATGATAATGATACAACATCAAGTAGTGATGAATCATCCAATGATAGTGATGATAAAACAATTCTTAGTCCTGATACGAGAACTAATGAAGATGTTGAGAAGAATGATGAAACTAGTGATGACGAATATGGTTATTATAATCCAAAAGACAGAAGAAGATGGAAAGAAGAAGAATAAATAACAGTTTATTAAACAATTTTTTTATGTGAACCTTGTCAGATCCAAGTTTTTTTTAAATAAAGCTTTCTTCTTTTCTATCAGTCAGTCTGTTTCTCATTTATTGTTTTATGAATTTTGTTTTTTCTATAACGATCAATAAAACTTGTTAAAACGTCTCTAGTTTCCATTAAAGTACTTATTTTCCATGCAAAAACCTCAAAATCCGTTTTTTCCAAAAAAATCATATTTTTCATGCAGCTGGTTACAGAAACTATCAAAATTTTCGGACAAAAAAGGGATGTTGGATAAAAAAAACATATCAAATCTGAAAGATCTGAAGATGGGCTATCTTCCCATGCATTTATCTCAATTTCGAAATTTTTGACGAAAATTGACTTTTTTTGAGGGGGGGGGAGGCCTTAACATTTCTTTAGAATTGATTGCGAATAAATTCTTAAATAGATTTTTCTGAAATTGGGATCAAACTAGACTCAACAGGACCGAACTATATAAAAAGAAAAAAAAAGCATATATTTCTAGTTGTCATCGAATCAAATGATGAATAGGGTTTGACACTAGCAATCATTTGACGAATCCTTTCTAAAAGTGTGAAAATCAAAATCAAAAAAACCGTTTTCATTAGGGACAACATTAGTGGTAACACATAATGGATCATATTCTTATTTGTCTATTAAAGCCAAACTCAACAAATAATCAAGGTCATTTTGTTTCTATATTTTTGTTATTGTTGATAAAAACTCAGTGAAAATTTATAAATAGATATTTTGTATGACTATTGATCGATGTGTGAATATAATAATATAATCATTATTTGTATTATCAAAAATAAAAACAAATTAGAATATATATATATATTTACATTCAATACGACAAAATAGAGACATATCAATGGATAAGTTTTCTCTATGATGATATGTTATCTATTCTATCGTATAGAAATAATAAATCTTGTTGTTGTTTCTTTTTTTTTTGACTAATTACATATCTTAAATGATTGATTTCTATAATCTTACTTCAGTTTTTGTTCGTTCAAGTTCATCTTTAAGTTGTATATTTTTTTCAATTTCAATTTTTAGACGTTCTCGTACCTTGAGAAAAAGAAAAAAGAAAGTTTTTTTTTTTTTTTTTTTTTTTGTTTTTAATTAATATTATTTGAGAATAAAAAAAAAAGAAGAAGCTTTACTTTTTCATCTAATGCTTTATGATGTTCAAATAAAGATTTAAGTGCTTTAAGTACTTCAACTTCCGATGAAACACCTTGAGCTTGTCTACGCATAACTGTTGTTCGTATTGAACGTTCATGTCGAGCAACAAGTTGTTCTAAATGTTCCAGAAGTAACTAAATAAAATTAAATATATAAATCTTAAGAATTCTAAAAAAAACAAAAAAACAAATTGTTCAATTTTATTTATTTACACGTGTATTATTTCGTTCAGCTTTAAGTTCTGTTACTTCATCTTCTTTTTCAGTTAATTGTTCACGTAATTGTGCTAATTCACGAACAAGTGTTACATAATCCTAAAAAACAATAAAAATTTTATTGTTTTGTTTTTATTCTTTCTATGATAAAATATTTTTTGAAAATTATGTTATTTAAAAAAAAAAGAAAAATAACAAAATTCATTTCTGAACCTTATCAGAATATATATGATTATAATAGGTTGAATTTTTCCATGGTAATGGTTGTTTATATTTTGATATGACTATTTCATTATCATAAATCGATTGATGTTTATATTGTTGTAATAAATTAAATGATTGTGAAAAATTCATGAGTGCTGATTGAGCTTCTTGAAACATATCTGGCCATGAATATTGTTGTTTATCATTGATTAAATCAATATCATCGATATCATCCGATGCAATGGCACTATCACTACTTGTTGAACTTGTCATTGTTATTGTATTTGTATCAGCAGATAAATCATTGTCACTATTATTATCATCATCATCTTTTTTATCAAAATTATTGATTAAATAATTATAAAGATTTGTTGATGAATTCATTTTAATAAGATAATCAGATTGATTTGTATTGAAAAAAAATAAATTTCTTTGATCCATTATATATATATTTGAATCGATCAAATAAATATCAACGTGAGAATGTCTGAGTGTAGTTGATTATCGATAAAACTAAATAATCGATAAATTTGTCTTTCTTATGTTGATCTTCTGTTTCTCGCGTTTCTCTATTTATATATGTATCTCTCTTTCTCCTTCTTTTCTTTTTTTTTTTTGGATTTCCTTTACTGTCCTTAGAAAGAATAAATAGACGTGAAAACTATTCTCGTAACGAAATGTTTATTGAAGTAGTTTAAATCATCATTTTCACACATTACTAGGCAGTGACGTTGTCATCGATAATCATGAATTGTCATCCATACGACCTTGTAATAAACGATTGGTTTGTTAAATGTATTTCAATGTATACAATCTTGATGATGTTCTCCGGGAATACGACTGAAGGTCGATATAATACCTCCAGTCAATAGATATGAATAAATAGTGCAATGCCACTCCACGTTCTCGTCAATCGAAATTGGTTAAAAAGTAATCAGTAAGCGTCACACATACATACACACGCAAAATGTATTAAAAAGAATAATAGATTGATTTGTTTGTTATTGAAATGACGTTTAGGTTTTCTTTTTTTTTCTTAGCTTTACTTAGTAGACAATCAATCATAAAAATAATACGATATCAATCGATTTAATGTCACGTTTTTGTCTTCATTATTCTTAAACAAAAAAAAAATGAGTATTACATTGCATTATCTATATCAAATAACATTAGAATGTTATATATATATATCCAATTCCCTATAATCGTTACAAAACAATAGAAAGAATGATCTAATCATTATAAATTGTTAAGGCCATATGCATTTAATATAAATATATGGACATAACTCTAAGAATTACGAAGCAAAAAAAAAAAAGAAAATAACATAACGATACTTTAATCATAATAGTTATGAAAAAGAAAACGAAAAATATCAAATATTTATCGTTAAGGACGATCATCGTTTATCTTTAATGATCTAGATATACATACACAAATAATAATAACGAATCATATTCAAAAGAAAAAAAAAAAAAATTTCTATGTGTGATGAAAATAGCCTTGTTCGAAATTGCAAGATTTTATAAATAGATATCAATGACAGTTGTTTATGTTTAGTATTGATTGATGTAAACAAATGTTTAATATCAAACAAAAAAACTAACGTAATATATAAATATTAGAAAGAACAAAAAGAAAAACAAATATATATATGTACACACATATAATACATACCTGTGGTGTATTTAATGATAATTGATGAAGTAAAATATCACGTTCTTTTTCAATATCAATTAATTTTTGTTGTGAATTATTTAATATGTCTTCTGTTTCATGTAATTTTTCTTGTAACTATATATAAATAGAAAACAAACAAACAAACAAAAATTATTTTTTTTTGAGGTTTATTTAGTTTTACTTTATCACGTTCTTCAAGCATTGATACCATCAACTGTTCAATATTTGTTTGAGGTTCATCACCATTATCTGATTCATTATCATCATGATTAATACCATGACTACTACCACCAGTACCATCTTCAGGTATTGGTGGCATTACATCACATATCATATCGGCATACATAATTATAATAAAATTTATACTACCTTAAAATGTATTTGAGAAAAAAAAAATACTAAAATAATTGTTTAATTGAATTATATAATATTAACTTACATTATCAAAATAAAAAAAAAAAATAATGATGTGATAATGAAAAGATATTCCGATTATAATAAACACTAAGATCTAGAAGAAAGGAAAAAAAAAACGATAATTATATATATATTTCTTGAAATTAATATTGACCATCTTTCTCATCTCAATTCTCATAATAATACTTGAGTATTTTGACAATTATAAATCATATTGAGTACTACATTAGACTAACCAAAAGGCTATAAATAAAGGACAAGAACAAAAAAAAGGAGTAAATATGATGCATTATCGATGATTGATTTTGATTTACAATGAACGATTATATGTGAAAACTCTTATTTATTAATCTATCAGCAAATGAATAATTCTTTTTTTTTTATTTGTCATATATTTGTTTATATCAGATCAATTTTCACTATGAAAAGAATAAAATCCATCAAAAGAAAATGAATATAGTGTGACAATGATGTTAAATAGATTATGAAAATATGATTAAGACTTTTTCTTCTATTTCCTGTGCTTTTTTTCTGCTTGTTATGCAAAACAAAATCAGTCAAAGAAAAAAAAATCTAGAATGAATACATACAACTGTCTATGTGTGTCAAGAGAAAGTTGAAGAGATAAGGCAAAAGAAAAACTCATAGTATGAAAAAAGAACTAACGTTCATTGCTTTAATATAAAGACAAAACATTATGGAAAACTGAATCATATTTAGTAGTTATATGTATAGATGAATAAAAGCAAAGTTTTTATTTTGATTTAATTAACTATATTCAATTATTAATATAACACTTAAGATAATAAAAATAAAATCTTATTATCTATAATAGGAATGAATTACTTGACGAATTAGTACAAGATTATCATGATACGTACTTATTCAGTTGAAGAATAAACGAATAGATATTGAGGAAAAGAATAGAAAAATAAATAGTAATAATATTTATGACTACGTATCTTCTATCATTATCCTTGATCGATCGTTCAAAGTAAACGAGACTATGAACAGTATCTGTTTTAGTGGTCATAAAAGCGAAACGCTTGACTACGGACAATATATATATATATATATACATATGTGGTCGATGGATATGTGTGCATGTATACATATCTTTGTATGCATTATAATGGGATAGACAATTGCGTGAAGCGTAGAAGAAAAGAAAGGATCTTTATCGTCAAAAAATACAAAGAGAACAACCGATAAAAGATAGTACGCTGCGGTCACCCATCAATAATGTTCATATGTATAAAAATCAAAACAAAACTGA